ACTGACCCGCGCGTACTCGCTCGTGAGGGAGACTGACCCGCGCGTACTCGCTCGTGAGGGAGACTGACCCGCGCGTACCCGGTCCTGAGCTGGAAATAAAAACATGCAGAAGAGAAAGAATCGCGGTCCACGCAAATGGCAAGTCTTTCCCATCTCCTTGGAGACAGCAAGAACTGCAGATGCTGGAGTCAGAGATAACACAGTGTGGAGCTGGAGGAACACAGCGGGTCATGCAGCATCAGAGGAGCCTTTTGCTGAAGAAGGGTCCCGACCCCGAAACACCAATTTTCCTGCACCTCTGATGCTGCCTAGTCTGCTGTGTTCATCAAGCTCCATACTGTTGTTTCCCGTCTCCTTCACAGCTTCTACTTTCACGGCTGCTGCTAACTCCATGTCCTCTTCTCATTCGCCCTCAGCCTTACCGTCTGGGATAAAAATGATCCTGCTATTTATCCTCATCCAATTACCAACCACTGGGCCATACTGAAGTACCAGGTATGATCTCTCTCTAAATTTCAGAGCGGGGTTGGGTCAGTCATTGAATCCATCGCAGTCTTTGTAGCTCAACCTCTTGTTGATGGGACAGTAGAGTTCACTCTTGTTTACCTCAGGGTCACCTGTTAGAAATCCCATGTCTCCTTTTGGCACACTAATGTAATCAAAAGATCCAATCGAACTAAAGCAATGTGATTATCGATGGATACAGGATATTGCATCCTTGTTGTGTCCTCTGCTTGTAATTCTTATGTTCCAGGCCACATATGTGTAGTCCAGACCTAAAATAATTTACAATCATTCCATCAAAAGTTTGGGCTGGGGTGATTACTCCATGCTTCTCTTGAGGGAGAGACACAGAGGTGAAAGTTACAGTCTCTACATCCTGGCTGGGTTTCTAATTGCTGCACACAAGGTCAACCATCAAATGAATAAGGTCCTGGGGTTAATTGAATTTTACCAATTCACAATAAACCCACAATTGTTCCATTATTAATTCCAGACTTTGCTCTTCCTTCAGTCTTACCTGGCTGCCCATTCTATGAAATAATAACTTTTTTGTCCACTTTTCAGCTATCAGTCTTGAAGTTTTATTGCTTTTTAACCTTTGCTCCCTTGACCTACTTTATATGTTTTGATTTCAAGCAAAATTTAGAATTTGCCCCTACACTTTGCCAGTTTGTCTCGCTTTACTGAAATTGCAATGGGTTGCTGGTTAATACGGGATGGTGTGCTTCCCAAGTCACAACTACTGAATTTCAGATACAGCATTACTCTCTCTGCTCTCTTGGATCCCGCATCGCTATTTGAAGAACAGTACAGCATTAATCTCTGGTATCCTATATTGAATCCTCCTCAATCGATATCACTAGGGCAGGTGATTTGTCCTTTATCACTTTGCTCTTTGTGCGAGTTTCCTATGCCCAGGATGGTTGCCAGATTTCCTATATTACAACAGTGGCTACACTCTGCAAGTACTGTACACGAAATTGTGAAAGGTGCTATACAAATGCAAGGATTTCTGTTTGATTTCTTTGGCTTCCCAAAACCAGAAGCTGACCCTTTTGATAACCAGGTAGCCACCATACCTCCTGTCCTGTTTGAGTTCAAGGAGACTCTGTATGAGATATTCCACTAAATCATGGGACAGCAAAGAGAAGTCATTTGTCACCGTTTGACCAGAGAGAGTCACAGGATGTGGAGCAACACAAGGACAATGGCAAGACCATGAACATGTTCAATTGGAGTCTAAATGAGTTTGTACTCCAGGGAATTAGGGGTCACAGATACTATAGATCATAGAATCC